GCTAGTGATTTACAAAGAAGGCTGCATATGGAGCAAGAGTAAGGATTGTAGGATGAGATCACTGTTAGATTGGCTGACCTTTTAGATCTTGCTCTCGCTTCTTGAAGAAAATTCAGACAAGCTGATTGTAAACTGCCGAGTCTACTAAAACACGTTGATCTCCATTCCTCACGCCCCATGGCTAAGCGCTGGAGAATATTATTAGGTATATTGACAGCTGACATGTATAATAATAATAATAATAATAATAAATATATATATTATCCCGCACCTCTAGCAAAATTCAATCTTTACTCGCCTATTCCACTTCCGAGACAATGATAACAACACTAGCAAAATACATTCTTCATATCTATTCAAGGACTGGTATATCGTTGTTTATCGAAATAAACAATATTTACGGCTGTATAAGCATTATTGATTTAATGTCAAGACAACAGTCGTTAGTACCACTTTTAGTAGACTGTTATGCACAGACTAGCATTTTTATTCGCCTTTACAACATACTTTTATAAAAGTGAATGAAAATAAAGAAAGCGTTACGAATTAAATAACTTATAGCTTAAACTTTCGTGTTAGCATCAAATGATTACATTGGTCACACAATCACCACACTCTCTTGTAGATTAACTTGTAACTCATCGAAACTTAATTCAGTAAGATATGTCGATCATCAGATAACAAGAAAGCAAAATTAAGCTATTAACATGAAATAAGTTTCAGCAGATCCATATATGACAAGTATTAGGAGACTAATATATGATAAGTCTTAGTAGAGAATACAAAAATGCCACACCGCAAATACTGTTAAATAAGACGAATTTAAAAACTACTAGCTTAGAATTTCGGGTTAGCATCAAATTATTACATTAGTCCCACAGTCACCACACTCTCTTGTAGATTAACTTCTCACTTATCGAAACTTAATTCAGTAAGTGGATATGTCGACCATCTGATCACAAGCAACCAAAATTAAACTATTAACATGAAATAAGTTTCAGCAGATCCATATATGACAAGAATTAGGAGACTAATATATGTTAAGTCTTAGTAGAGAATACCAAAATATCACACAGCAAATACTGTTAAAAAATGACTTACAGTCTTTAAGATATTAGAAAACAAAAGAAAGAATCTATATAAAAGATATTTCATTACAGGAGATGACAATTTAAAATGTTTTATAAAATATTCAAAATGAAAAACATACTTAGAATATGTTTTCACAGACAATAAAATTTTCTGGTACAACAGAAATAACTAACTTTCCTAGCGGTAGACGTCGCAGTTGATTCGAGATGTCAGTGGAAATCGCCAGCCAAAGATGGCGTGCAGTGTTACTCCCCTGTAGTTTAGCAGCCGCTACTTTTTCACTATACATCAAATTTTAAACAATATATATAATTTCAGTTATGTACATTATAAAAAAATCAATGTATAAAAAGCATTAAGAACAGGGGATTCATCCTTTTTTTTTTATTACGCTCGAGCAATAACTTTTATTATTTCAGTATTTCATTTTTCTTTAGCTGAATAGGGATCGATTCATGGCTCCATTGGAATGAGAAAGAAGAATCAGTTGTGTTCATTCTGCTGAAATGACACAATTGGAACTGATCAGGAATGAAGGTTTTCCAGAATTATGAAGTTTTTATTCCTAAAAACTTTCCGTAACAAATGGGATGGAAGAATTGGACCGTTGTGTTGTCCACTATCAGCCCATTGATTTGAGCCAAATCTATCTTATTCCACCCTGACCTGTAAAGAATTTTGTTTATTTAACGAAATCTTACACTTTAGTTGATTTATGGACCAAAACAATGGATTGCATTCAGGTTATTACTGGAAATCAATTGCAGCTACGTATTTGCTTATCCATAGAATTGCTACTTACACAATTTACATAGTCCGAACTATTGTCTTCATCTTTATTGTCATATTCACGACGTTTCAGTCGTTGTCGGCTCCGGCCTTCTTCAAGTGATATACGTTGGAATTTCAAATCGAACCCTCTATTACTTCCACTTGGGTAGATTGTTCTAGTTCCACATGCCGTGCCTTTTATGGATGTCTCAGTTTCAGTTATTTCCCTTTATAAGCTCAACTCTCCAAAAGTTAAATAATATTTTGCTCTTCTCCGTACAGAGCACTTTAAAAATGTACTCAATACAAACTAGAGCAAAATATTATTATTATACAATAGATTATAATAAAAACATTTAAATCGTTACACAAAAGCTTTCATGTTCCAACACTATGATTGTACTTCCTAGGGCGGTGTACATATGTACATAATATTAGACAGATATAAGTTGATAACACAAGAGTACTCACACATACACACAGTAAAAAAGAAACTTCAGATATTGCAGGCTATCTGAATTAAAACAAAGCAACCCACACTCAACAAAATTACATTACAAACTAGTCACAACAAATTAGATTGCATCTAGACATTGGTTTTCTTTTAATACTTCGGTCTGTTGCGTGGTGTGACGTC